GTGAAAGGGAAAGTATAAGAGCGGAATGAGGAATTAGTAACGGTGGAAAAGCATGTGACGAGAAAGTCTACGACGGAAGCGGAGGTCCAGGGCGCGCGTGTGTGTGTGTGTACATAGAGGCGAGCGATATAGGTTTAAGGTTAGGTTAGGTAATATATTGTAATGTAGTGGTAAGCGGAGAGAAGGAGCATGTAAGAGGTGGTGTAAGACTGTAACCCTAAGGGGATCAATAAATTCATTCATTCATTCATTCATTCATAAGACTGGCTATAATATAGTAGACAAGACTGACTATGATATAATATTAATTAATAATGAAGATGACAGCAACTTATTGTCTTTTAACGTGGAAGCAGATAAACCTGCTGATCAAGATGATACTGTTAACAATAATGAAAAAGGTACTTCAGATGATAGTGACAGCGATAGTAATATAAAAGAAATATATAATTTATTAAAGATAGAATATAAAAGTAAGGAAAGTCAAAATAATTGTCAAAATGACAGTAAATATTTTAAGGAGAAACTAGCAGAATAGGCTGTTGACGTTAATTTGCCTCATAATCATCTACATGATTTAATGAATTTATTAAGAACAGTCAATTCGTTGTCTAAACTACAAGATCTTCCTCAACACCCTCGAACATTATTGCAGACTACTCGACAAACATTGAAAAGAGTTGTGACTCCTGGTGAATATACCCACTTTAGTTTAGAAAATGGATTAAAAAATTTTTTACTTTTTCATACGCAAGATTATTCGACTATAAGAATAGGAATAAATATCGATGGTCTTCCCATTTCCAAATCTAGATCCAAATATGTTTGACCAATTTTGGAATCTCCTGTGGGGACCAATTATGTATTTATTGTCAGTTTGTACGCAGGAGATAAAAAACCAGATTGTTCTAATGATTTTTTAGAAGACTTTATTAATGAAACATTATAAAAATGATTTTCAATTTAATGGTAAATTATATAAAATTGAAATAATAATGTTAATATGTGACAGTCCGGCAAAATCATTTATATTAAATATAAAAGGTCATAGTGGCTATTCGAGCTGTCCAAAATGTCATATCAAAGGAAAATATTTAAGGAACAGGATATGTTTCCCAGATACAAAACCATATCGTAAGAAAACTGATTTAGAAATGAGAGAATTGTGTGATAATAATGAAAATAATTCAAAATTAAGTATCTTTGCTGAAATATCTGGCTTTGATTTTATCAATGATGTAGTTCTTGATTATATGCATATAGTATGTTTAGGCGTAATGAAAAAGTTAATAAAAACTTTGCTTAGTGGAGATTTAAAGAATAGAATTGTTATCAAACATCTTCGAGTATCTCTCAATGCTTAGAAAATTTAAAGAAGCACATTCCTGTCGAATTTGTTAGGAAGCCCAGAAGTTTAGAATTCTTGGCTGATTGGAAAGCCACAGAATTCCGGCAAATATTACTTTATTCAGGACCTATGGTCTTCCATGATTTATTGAAACGTAGTGTGTACTTAAACTTTTTGACACTTCACATTTCAATGCGAATTTTGTGTAATGAGAAGCTATTGTTGCTATATGGGGCATACGCACACGAACTATTATTGCATTTTGTTAGTACTGCCATAAAAATTTATAGATCTGAATTTGTATCACACAATGTGCATTGCCTTCTCCATTTGGTACAAGAATGCCAAAAATTTGGAACTGTTGACAAATTTAGCGCATTTAAATATGAAAACTTCCTTATGAAAATAAAAAATATGCTTAGAAAATTTGATAATGTAATTGGACAGTTGCACCGACGGTATATTGAAATTGAAACATTCTCACAAAAAGCAATGAAAACATAAACCGCCACGACTTTTTTGAACTTCTTATGCATAGTGAACTTAAAGTACACCCCGTGATATTGAATTGTTCCGGGTCATATTACCTTTCTGCGACTTGCGGCAATATTATTTTAAATATTTCGTTGGAGAAAGATAGATGCTGTGGGTTACTTGATAATTCTATTATAGAAATGGAATTTATCATTTTCTCTGCCATTGAGGGAGAGTATTTTGTTATCGGAAAAAAATATAACACAATAACAAATTTTTATTTAGAACCTTGCCCTTCATCCATTGTTGGAATTTACGTAGTATCTGATTTGTTTAAAGAAATAAGACGGTGGTCGTTATCATCAGTATGCAAAAAATATGTTAAATTTCCTATGTTAGATTGTCCTACAAAGTGTCTGGTTACGTGTTTGTTGAATTCGGATGTTTTATAAGGTTAGATAGTTTTTATTTGGCTGTAATTATATAAGTATTTCAATGTGATAAATGTAAGAATTAGTATATTTTGAACAATATTAGTAAAAAATTAATAAGTCACAAATTAAGAAATAATAATTAATTTAAATTTATATGAAATTAACATAAATTGTTTTGCTGCATTTGGTCCTTAAAAATTAATACTTTTAATGTGTTTCAGATTATAATCATGACGGAGTTTGCAGTTGTTGAATTTGTCGACGGTGTTCAATTAGTACCCAAACTTTGGTTACAAGATGATGACACTTGTTATTGGTCAAAATTACAGAATCAGTCTAAATACTATAAATTAATTGAAAATAAAGAGCCGTATAATTTGCAATGGGAAAAATACAATATCATTTCAGTTCTACCCTTATACAAATATCATACTAAGAATCATTGATAATTACTTATTATCCAGTATTTTTAATACTGAAAATAAGTAATTATCAATGATTCTTAGTATGATATTTCTATAAGGGTAGCAGAAACTGGTGAATCCTATTGAATTTATTATGTACTGTTTTCAGACTATTTCACTACCTTCATATATACATTCTATGGGAGTATTCCGATTGACTACGGTACGATTGGACATAACCAATCGATGATAAGAATTATCTTGTGAATTACTAGGTCAAACCAATCATTACAATCTATGTCCAATCGTATCGTGGTCAATCGAAATTCACTCACATTTTATTCGTATTGATTATTACTCGTTTTTAAATATGTTATTTCAGATACGTTTCAGAAAGGACTCGCAAAATTAAAAGAATCCGAAATCTTCACTGACATTAATACAGATATCGATGAAATAACTGGGAGAAAGAAGAGAAAAAGAATCCAAAAAGGAATTACTACTTCTAGTGACGAAAATTGCGACGATGATATAGAAATAGAAAAATTTCCTTCGCCTCCAAAACAGGTTAAAAATAAATCTAATATCACTGTGTCTACACATTTTTCATCACTAAGGAGTCATCAATCTTCTTCAAAACCTCAATGCCATGAAGCAATAAAAAAGTACGGAGGTAATAAAAATCAGTCTTCCCATGATTCATTGTCTCAGCCTCCATTAAAGTTTACTCAGCAAAGTGGACAAAATCAATTATCCAATACAGTTTCTGAACTTTTTTCACGAATACCTGTAATTGCTCCTCTGAAGAACAACGGCATTCACCGTATCGTATACCAGATACATATTCACACACTTCTTCTATGAATATGCAAAGTTCATCCACTTGCGGAAATACTAATGTATATTGGCATGATCATTCACCGAAAAGAAATGTTTCTTATGAAAAATCACATAATGGTAATTAATAACAAATTTATTATATACAGAAATTGAGGAAACACTAAAGAATAAATCCATACAAATGATTTCAATTTCTAGTATTTTATTCTTTGCTTTTTATTTTCAAAAACTATATCTAGTTTATTTGCCTTTTTTTACGTGAAAGTATTACACAATTAAAAACTGATAGCAAAATCAAACAATTTTATAAACAGATGCTTCGCTGAAACAAAAATAGATATTCATAAAATATTAGAAAACCAAGAAAATATTTTAGTTCGACTCTCTGCGCTGGAAGGCCGTAATTTTGCTTCTGTTATACATAATAACTATGTTTCATCTTTTCCTTTAAAAAATGAAGATGATCTACAAGATTTAGAAGATAATCTTCTTCTACAAGATTTTCAATCTGCTTTAGTAAGTTAAAATTATAAAAAACCCAACTTTCAATAATAATTAAAATTGCTTTGTCCTATCCTTTTCTGCGTTCAAAAAAGCACTATTTAACATTTTGTTCTTATTGTCTGCTGAAAATTGAATAAGGACAGAGCACACTCATAGCGCTAAATAGCATTTTCCCGAGCGCAGCCCCAATAAAAGCCATAATGGCAAAACACGAGCTAAATGCGGGCTCAGATGAAATTTGTAACTTATTTATTTA